TTACCAAATCCTTCTGTATAAATACCTAACCAAAACCCTCTCGCTGCAACTTTTCTGCCGGAATTCATTCTTAATCAAGAAAGTATTTCACTTCAATCAAGTCTCTAGCACATCTGACCACCAAACTGAAGAAACGAACATAATTGTTTAGTTGTCCAATTTCCCAGCCTCGTGTCCAATTATCCCAGCAACCCAAACGATTTAGCTCACTGGCCTATTCTTCTTAGTCCCTCACTCTCCACAACCCAACCTATTAGCTATTCAGCGCAATCATAAACATAACTCTAAATGAATCCTTCTATCACCCTCTGAATGGTTAGTTCTCTAGGTATACAAGATAATATGCTCAAATGGAGATGGATTTAGACATTGGATGCTGACTTTACCGTCAAAACAAGGATAATGAAGTAGGTCTAACTTTGACCGAGGTCCAAACGGAGTTCTACAAGTCAAAACACGCCCAAATTTGGAGGATAGGTTGCTTGTGTGCCAAGCAACCAAGTCCAACAAAGCGATCAGTGGCATCCCTACCAACCATTCAAGCCCAAGCTTTAGAAACTTCCTTTTCAAGGTTACTTCGTCCACATCTGTAACTAGTATAGATAGAGGCTTAGGGTAGACTTCAACATACACCTTTTTACTAGCACTCAACCCCAGAGGCGCGAGTTAGAAATCCATAGAGAGAAGATGCGAAGTCCTGTTGGAGCTCGACGAGGAGTCTTCACCATCGATGCATGTATCATTGGTGATGTCTTCCTATTTTACTATACATAGCTAGCTCAATTTGTTTAGGGATTTGACTCTATGATGCTTTATGTATTACTTTCTATGATTTAATTACGATGTCTATATTGTGGCCAATGATCTTTACCATTGATGCTTAAGCTGATTTATGCTTGTATCATCTATTGTTTATTCATTCGATGTCATTGTCTTTGTATGATTTAGTTAATTGATGCTTATGATTCTGTTATATGTTATTATAGTATTATGTTTAATATCATTGAGAGTGTTAAGAAATTATCCTCTAGTGATATCTCATTGTCTTAGATCATTGATGCTATAGACTATAAGCTATGGCTCAAGAGGCCCACACTTAACCATAGGCTATCATAACTTCCTTGTTCTTTATTGATTCGTTTTTTAAGTAACTTTGAGAGAGTATACCCATTGTGCATGATTATTTAGGGGATAACTAATAACCGTCTAGTTCTAGCACCTATAAATAATTATGATCATTGATGTATGAACGATTCATTATTTCAAAGTGAATTGATCAATCAACCTGCTTCTTAAATCCAAAAGGTTTTATTTTGCACATATGACTAGACAACGATTGTAAATTTTAATACTCTAACTCATGAAGCACAAAAAATTCCACGAGAAGTAGGTAAATTGTCGAGCTACGTAAAAAACACAACTGTTTTGCTCGATAACTTACATTTATGTTTAATCGCTTTATGAAATTCACATAGAAATGTAACTCCCAAAAATCTACACTAATTCAATGCAACACACCTAGTTATCTAATACTTGCACCTGCAAATAATCATGATCATAGTTATACGAATGATTCATTTTGTCAGGAGTGAATAGATCGATCAATGTGCTTCATGTTTTTTTTTAAGAAAGAAAAATGATTTTATTACACATGTGACTCACCGACGGTTATAACACTCTTAACTAATGCTTTTTTTTTAAGAAAGACAAATGATTTTATTGCACATGTGACTTACCGACGGTTATAACACTCTTAACTAATGAAGCAAAACGCAATCCTACATGAAGTAGGTGCATTATCAAACTGCGTAAAACGTGTCTTCTTTGCTCGATAACTTATCGTATATTAAATGACATTCATCACATAAAACATAACCCCCAAAAGTTGACACTAATGCAATGTAACACACCTAACATATAACATTTAATCTACTGCCATGTCTCTTAACTGTTGCACCAAAACAAAAAACAATAAATTAATTTCGTATCTATCCTTCTTTTTCATTTTTGGTATTCAAATCTGTCCAACAACCTAGAGCGTCAACCTTCCATAACGCAGTCAAACTACGAATCCTTATTCATTACTTCCCTTCCATAACGTTGTGCAAGATTGCATGAAATTTACTCTTTCTGTTACTTCCTTTCACTTATTTATACCAAATTAACTCCCCACCAACCCAAAGTAATTAAAAAACAAAAAATCTCCCGAGTTGGTCGCTAAAAGTGAAGTTAACAATGCCGAGAAAGCTGCGCAAATCCGTCCGGGGATATCTTTCCAAGATCAAAAGCGCCAATTCTGCCCTCCATTTCTCTTCCAGCTCCTTCTCTTCTCCCAAGAGCTGGATTCTCAGAGGCTGCAAGCACGTCAAGACCCTTTCCTTCTCCGGCGTCGATACCCGTCGCCGGGAAGAAGAGGATACCAATAGCGACGACGAGACCAACAATAGCAACCAGAACAAGGACGTCGCCGCAGCTACTCTCGATGACGTGGACCAGTTCCTCTTCGACAATTTCCGGTCGCTGTACATCAAAGACGATGACGACGACGATGAACAAGAAAAGGATTCGCGTCCAACAAATAACGTTGAGGCAGACGGTCATCATTTGCAACGGAGAGATGATGGTGGCAAAAAGAGCTTCTCAGATGAGTCCCCTCGTCTGGTTGACCCGCCAGCCAAACGGTCCAACCGGTTATTCACCCGACCGGCTGGGTCGTCCTCATCCACCTCCCTGGCCGATGAAACCGCTCGGTCGAGCCAGAGGACCACGACCTCATCGACCGACGAGATGGCCGGTTCGACGATGTCCAACACTCTGACGTCCTACTCCGGCAGGAACAATCACGACCGTGACTCCGCCGAGGCGCTTCCCGAGGACTGCATCGCCGTGCTGACGTACACTCGGGCCCCGCAGGACGAGTTCGTGCGGTCCATGCAGGAGATGGTGGCGGCGAGGATGGAGGATAAAGGGAGCGTTGACTGGGAGTTCATGGAGGAGCTGCTCTTCGCCTACTTGAACTTGAACGACAAGAAGTCGCACAGGTTCATTTTGAGCGCTTTCGTTGATCTCATCGTCACGTTGCGGCCGGCGGCTGGGGAAGGAGCTCCGGCGAGGGCGCGGAGGTGTCCCAGCGGGAGAGGGATGTTGTTGAAGAGGCCAGGGGCCGAGTCCCAGAAGTGATGTTATAATGTAAAACAGGCCGATAGTGATGAAAACAATTTACATGCACAAAAGAAATCTGTTCTCAAATTGTTTTCTTAATGTATTTTGTGTTAGTTTGGAAGTTGTGATTTCAAGCAATGTATTTAGCCAATGCATGTATTGTCAAGATTAAGTCGTTTTTTTATTAAATTTGTGACAGCATACATGTATTACTTTTCTCTGAGCCCACCAACACTCATTCAAAATGAGTGATTAAATACTCAAATTACAATGTATACCTCCACACAATGTATTTTTCAAATTCATACATTTTATCAATACATCAAATTACAATACGCAAATTGATTAAATACTTCAATATGGTGAATCTCAACCTCCAAACAACCCATTTGTTTTTTCACTGCCAACTAGAGAAACATGAACCCCGCAAACATCCAACTCTACATGGCTTAATTGCAAGTTTGGTCACTCGAATTGCTATAAAATTTTGCGTTTACCACTCAAATTAATTTATTCCATTTATAGTCACTCGAATTAGTTGAACAGTTCAAGTTCGGTCACTCTCCGTTTACCTCCGTTAACTTTGACTGACGTGGCGGTCAACTCTGACAGTTGACCGTTAAATGTGTGACGTGACAAATAAAAAATAATTAAAAAATAAAAATTAAATTTTTAGACATTACACATCATTATCACAAAAAATTATAATTATAAAAAATAAATAAATAATTTATTACAAAAAGAAATTACACATCATTATCACAAAGAAATTATCACAAAAACAAACAACACAAAATTCCTTCCAGATTTCTTTGAAATCGGATTCGAATTTTCAGAGAGATGGACAACAATCAGTAATCGTCGTTCTGGCAGTTCAGCGACCAACTGAGGGTGCAGGCCAACAACCTAGCGAACCTCTCGCTCAACGATTCGATCTGGAGCAGCTCCTACGCCAACAAGCGGCCGGAGCAGCGCCGGAACTTCGACATCCGGGTCGGAGCCGAGCTCAACAACATCAATTCTCCTTCTCCTCCCCCCGCCGCCGGCAAGCCCCAGGTAGGCTCCGATTGGAACGGATTCAACGACGGCTGGAAGGTCGGGTCGGGTTCGGTAACCGGGCCGAACATCAATTTCACCGGTTTGTTGAATAACAACAACAACCAGTCCGTAATCGGCGGCGGCGGTGGCGGTGGAAGTGGATCTCACCCGATGAACGTCGGGCTGAACGGAGGGTTCAACAAGGGGATCTACTCCAAGGGTGGATTGAACAACGGGGGTTTCAATTTTAATGTGAATCCGAGGGCTGGGAAGAACGGCAAGGGTTTTGGGATTGAAGATGAGCAGCAGAATCATCTCGTCGGCGGGAAGTTCGGCAAGAAGAACGGCGGAAAGAAGAACAACGATAGCAACGATACCGGGAAAGAAGGGAAAATGGGAAGCAGAATGGGGTTGACAAGAGGTTCAAGACTCTTCCTCCGGCCGAAGCTCTGCCCAGGAACGAGACCATCGGCGGGTATATCTTCGTCTGTAACAACGACACCAATGTGTTGTTTGTTTCTGTGTTAATTTCTTTGATAATGATGTGTAATTTCTTTTTTTGATAATTTCTTGTTTTCATTTTTTATAATTATAATTTTTTGTGATAATGATGTGTAATTTCTAAAAATTTAATTTTTATTTTTTAATTAGTTTTTTATTTGCTACGTCACATATTTAACGGTCAATTGTCAGAGTTGACCGTCACGTCAGTCAAAGTTAACGGAGGTTAACGGAGAGTGACCGAACTTGAACTGTTCAACTAATTCAAGTGACTATAAATGGAATAAATTAATTTGAGTGGCAAACGCAAAATTTTATAGCAATTCGAGTGACCAAACTTGCAATTAGGCCAACTCTACATTGACAATATATTCACAAATATTTTGAAGGTTTGTTTTCGACAATCGCATATGCAATCTTCCCACTAATAAAACCAGAGTGTACTTTACAAATCTGTATCATCAATGCTGGTATATTGTTAGGAACGAAATGCTAAGACCTTCTGGATAAAGGCGATGATTGAAAGTCCATCGATACCGGGCTGATATCTGTACTTGTTGGTGATGCCAGGAGGAAGATGCCATACCTCCAGTCCAGTCCAGTCTGATTTCAGAAGCTAAAAAAAAAAAACTACAATCACCAAAGGAACAGGCTGAATTCTGCTGATATGTTCTGTTAGCGAACTAACCACTTGGTCCCAATAACTCGAGTTGTTGGGAAACCTTTTATACGCCCCCTCAAACGAAAGCCGATGCCGAATTGTGGATTTTTACGGTTTGCACAGGTTGAACCCTTGTGCTGCCAAACCACGAGGCTTTAGCGAACTAACCACTTGGTCCCAATAACTCGAGTTGTTGGGAAAGGGATAGTTAAGCATCTTAAGAGTCATGCTAACTAATAATGTATCCACTCTTGTGATCAATCAAAAGAGCAAGGTGAGACTTACTACGGTGCATCCCAAGAAGTCTATGTACTTGGCGCTGTTACAGTTCTGCACTTTACACCGTCCTTCGATCATGCTGTAAAACATACGTCAAAAATCATCAGGCGAAATTGTAATCAATGAATGCAACCACGTCACTTACGGTTCAAGTGCGGCCAAATTCGAGATCAATGAATGGTCACAAAAGTTCAGTCATTATTCACTTCTATGCATCTCTTCAGTTCACAAGAACATACCTACAGGCTACAGTCACACTGACACAGCAACTGAAACTAGTTCCGTAATATATAGGCCTATTATAACCAATTTGAAAAGGTAGAAATGTTCTCCGGAGAAGCTACTGTTTAGGCGGATTCAAGGCGAAACATAGAGTTGTATTTTTATGTCAGCAACTAAAAGGAATCAAACCAAGGGAAAAGGGGGTATCCTGATTGCAGGTAAGTTATCGTAAAAGGGCAGAGTTTCTTACTTTGGTTATAGGGTAGTTGATCTTTTGCTCCGACGTACTGCTCATACAAAGAACGATACTTTGAAGGGACAAAATCTCTGAATCTGTACACAATGGGAGTTTGTTTAGTGGGATCATCATGTTCATAGGCCAGTAGCACTCGAGTATCTCTGAGATTTCGATGGTAGTAGTCAGTCATTCCTACCTTTCAAGCAGTTGGGCCCTCTCTGGCCCTCTGAATAAGTTGATGATAGATTGTAGCACATGGCCTATTGTCATGGCTTTGGATTTCAGCGCTTTCATAAAACTGACGAATTCAGCATATTCTGGGGCTGTAAGTTTTTCCTTTACCTGTAAACCATGAGCCACAAAAGAGAAAACGTGTAAGCAAGAATCCAGTCAACAAGAAAAGAATGCAGATATAGTTAGTACAAAGTGCTGAACAGACAATTTGTTCAGTGAAGAAAAGAGACAGTCAATTTATGCGTCCAATAACTACAAGAGGGCAAACATTAGCATCGCTGCTGAAAAAAGTTGAAAAGCGACTTAAACCGAGCTAGATATCACAGCCCATAAAAGCTCCAATGGCAGTAACAACTATGCAAGCACAAAAATTGCAATGGTTGTCTAGAGCCAAAGTGCCCCCAACCAGCAACAAATGCATGGTTATTGCAGCAGGTGACCCATGCGGCCATCTGTTATCCTTTTCATTACAAGCAGGAACACACAATTATAGTTGAGATTTTTCTTGTGAACCACCAAGCAGGAGTAGAATAACTTGAACTTTTAAGAGGAAAAAGACTTCCTTTCAGGCATTCCCTGCTTAAACAACAAACAACAAACTGCAGATTGGCATTATGCCCCAGTATTTCACCTGACTTAGAAATTCAGATCCTTTTGTTTCCTGGTCTCCAGTGTGCAACGAGTTAGAATGAGCTGCATCATTCTTTGAGGCATGAACATCGGTCTTCCCCATCTGAGGGAACCCAGGTGAACTAGCATGTTGCTGGGTTCTAATATCAGAGATACGTCTCCCTTGGGATCCAAACTTATTGGATTCTCGCTTTTCATCAATAAACTTCTGCTTAATATCTTCACTAAGCTCTCCTTTTGACACCTTACGCTTCTTAGCAGAACATGGCAGCAGTCCCTCACTACTAGGGATTACCCTACCTGAGGATCCACTAATCAAGTCGACCATCTCCTGTTTTTGGCGTTGTGTTGAAGTTCCCCCCAGAACAAGTACTGGTTTCTCTTTTGATATGAGACCTTTGGAATACTTCAATATGAAGTCTTGGTTATTTTTGGGAGGATTAAGAGATGCACAATTAGCTGGAACAATCTCCTTTAATTTGCTTGAATCACTGAAGCTTTTATCTTGAAGAAAAGGAAGCATTGACGATATGTTGGCAGCCTTCTCATCTGTAGGCATTGTCTGCAGATGTACAAACGTAAGGAGCACTTCCCAAACAAATGATGCATCATCATACAACTGACAGATTTGAAAGCTCATGCTCAAAACTGCTAAAAGATAACCAAGGTAGTAAAACTGCCACCTGAACTTTTTCCACCTGCTGCGACATCTGTGTGACTTTTTCTGCATAAGTTAGCCATACATAAAATTGTAAGATGGATCACTGACATGAACTTGTGGCAGAAGGAATAGGTTGAGAAGCAGGATTAAGTGGGAAGACCGAGGAATCTTCCCGAGGATATGAACACCTTACCCGTAGACTTCAGCATCGTTGAACTACTAAATACTCCATCGCGGAAAAAACGACTCAATGTGAAAATGACATCTCCGAATCTAGAATGACACTGAAAAAAAAGGAAGATTGAGCATGTCCAGCAGTTTCCGGGCCAGAAGTGGATCCAAAAATCCAAAACCCACATATACATACCTTAAGATGAGGCCTAATCCAAAGTGAAATCTGTGACTGCTGATTTGCATTTGAGAACCTGCTAGCACTCAGACGTATAATCACTAAAGTATTAATTGTATGTATCTAGTTGAAGCATGATTGAATTCAGAAAAAGAGACCAGACCCCTTTTTCTTTCCGTAAAAGGAAGAACTTAGATGTGTAATAAAGAAATTAAGGTTTGATTTTATATTTATCTCTTTATTTAGACTTATTTTATCATTTGAAAGGGTTGGTTAATCTACATCTAGATTTAATGAAAGAAATACCTACCATCATAATCTAAAAAGATAAGAAGGCTTTAACCTAAATTGTCCTGGAAGAAACTAAGATTTAGTAAGAAGTTGGGATGAAAACAGAGTTCATTTTCACCAAATCTTGAACCTCACTGCTAAATTTTGAATCAGAATTCATTAAGTGGTGAAGCGTATGATTAAGAATCCCACTTCACTTGAATCAGATAAATATTTCAAACAGACAGGATAACTGGACAAGGCAGTAATGATTCCGAGGGGTACAAGCAATAAGTTACACCTTTCAGAAGAGTGTAAACAAACCTTTCATCACAGAATATGATCGCTCCATAATCATGTCGATGGCGAATTACACGTCCAACAGCCTGATTCACAGCCCGTGATGCTTGCTGGCCGTACCAGCCTTCCCCAGTTAGAATCTGGAACTTTGTCCACAAAAAGAGGGGAAAGAAAACTATCATGGAAAAGAATGAATGATGTTTATTGCCAACAACTTCCATGGATATATACCAGTCATGATGCACTATAGATAGTACCTTGTTGTTGTCCCTTGAGGATGCCGCTTGTTGATCCAAAAATTCTCGCTTCAAGCGAACCTGGTATCAACAATTATGGATTATATAGAGACAATGATGATGCCCCAATAAGTGTAACTTGTAGGTAATTCTAGTAAATCCTAATAAAATTCAATACTAAATGCATCTGAAATGCAATAACGATAATACAATCTCCACTTTCATCGCAGAACAGTGCAGCTATAGTTATGTGAGCAGCTACTGCAATTGAAAAAACCAAAAGTTTATGACTTCTGGATAACCAAAAGCAATCCAGCTGTAGTTAAATTTACATATTCATTCACAATGCCAGTTTTCTTCTCAGGCTTTTCCAACATCAGTTAGTCGTAGGTTGTCTTCTTGTGAAAGTAGTCTAAATGAGTTTCAAATACGAAATTATCACAGTAAAAAAATAACACAATTGATTTATGGTAAACTAAAAATAACACGGTAACTTATTTTAAGTAAATTATATCTCTGACATAAGTTGAAGCAACTTTTCATCGTATCAAAATACCAAAATTTACTTATAGAACTGACCTCAGCTCAACAAAAACAATCCCAGCTGAAAAGAACGTAAAAGCAAACACACTTACAAGAAATCAAGACGGTCTAGTCCCTAGTTCCAACTTACGTAGTTAGCATTATACTGTACAGATGAAAACTAAATAAAATAGAACTATTCAAAGTTCAAAGAATAGATTTGAGATCTCCTTCGGGCGAGATGGATTAAACCACCAATTACATTAGACATAATCTTGACCTATTCTGACCTCAAGAAGATATGACATCATAAGAATACGGGTCAATCCAAGACATTTTCAAAAATGAATTCAGGGGGTTGCGTGATTGAGTTAATGAAAGACATATTTGTTTCAGTTTCAGCTATGCTAAAACACACTTGTGCTTGAACTACAGAACCAAAATAGAATAAACACCATTCTGATCAATATAGTAGCTTCGAAATACAAAACGGCACACATATGCTTATACATCAATCAGCAGAAGTACAATATGTAGAGAGGAAATAAGCAGCAAATAATCCTCAACCTTGGGGTCAGTCCTCATGGGAAAAGGAACTCCTGTAATTATTACAGCCCTCCCAGTTTGATCTGCAAAATCCAGTCCTTCACTTACCTGCCAGTTGCATTATACACAAGTTGTCTTTTAGTCTAGAATCCCAATGCAACAGTGAATTTTAAAAGTTCAAGAAACTGAAAACCACTACAGTGATTTACATTGTAAAAGATTATAAGGTCCTGAAATACAAGAATGCTCAATACATTCAGAGAGTAAGGAACTGTGTAGAAGAGTGGAATTGATTTTCTGAGAGAAAGAGAAAGGTTGTCTTTACAGTTCTTCAAACCTCAGATTAATAGTTTTCCCTGAGCAGCTCTACATTTGATTTTCTTCTGTTTGGTTCTTTTTAAATACATAACCTAGCATCCTACCCTCCTGCTACTAACTGAAGCGGAAAAGGTATCATTTATGTATTTCAATCTATCATCCGGCATCTTCAGTAGCACTAACTTAAAAGAAAAGAAATTCAAGGAGACACTTTATTACCCTCCAAAATGAAGAAAAGCCTTTTCTACAGCATGACAATTGGATTCCAGGAAAAGCTAATGTGACGAACATTTGCCTAGGAACATAAGGCAATCGATATCACCCTCAGAAGCATAGTTGGACAACAGTATGAAAACAATACAAAACTACTTTTCATCTGTTGCCATGGCATGATTGATTGTCCAAACTTCAGGATTTAGCCATACCTTGCCACGACAAACAGCAAAAAACACTGCTCCAGAACTTGAGGTGTCCTTCAATTTAGCCATATAATCCTGTACATACGCAGCGGTAATTATTGTGTGTCACAGCTACTTTGCATCTTGGAGCCATTGGAAGCTGTAACTGTATTGATTACCTGAATTGCCGATGGGAAAAGAGATGATTGTCTAGGTTCTATAACAGGCTTCTTGTACCTGGAGATTCTTTCCCATATTGTTGTTGAACTAGTATTATCCTGCAGTAAATGAAGTGAAAATTAGTAAAGGATGCTTCAAGAAAATAGCTATGGTTCCACAAATGAATGACCATTAATGATGCATTACCACACTCTTCCAGCACTCAATGGATTTGTCCAGAACGTAGTATGAGGGAAAGAATACAAGAAGCCCATCAGGTACAATCCGAGCAAAATTAACTGGACATGAAAGAAATCTGTCAGTGTGGACTTCAGATTGATATGAGCAATAGATCCCTTCTATTACTAGTTTTGCTACTTACCAATGGCATTTCCTAGCTCTCTCTTATATTCTACAGAATCACGATTTCTGTAAGAAGAGTTGAAAGAATGCCCTGATGGGCCAACCCCAACAACCCCTGCCCAGATCTGATTTGAGGATATGACATGAGGGTTCTCCAACCGAACAGGAAAATTCCTGAGCCAGCAAGATAAAATTCAATGTGACAAGTTTCAATATGACACTTATATCAATATGATATCACTCACACAAAAAACCTTACAATCTCAACTCTTGAGCAAATGACTCCATCGGTGATAGTGTTCCAGAAGTCAAAATAATGGAGCCAACTCCCCTCTTGGAGAATTCTTCCATGGCAATGCCTGGATTAAAGCACCACCAGCTAAGAGTTCTCGGTGCTTTACCTGCATTACAAAACACCAACAACGTATGTAGTTTATTACCCATGATCTTCTGAGTCTCTTAATTATTATTTCTAGAATAATAATCTGTGAGAGCGAATTCATCATCTTTGTTCTTATTTATATTATCTTTTATTGGTGTTCATGTTGCTGTAGTTTTGATGAGGAAATTTGGAATCATTATGTAGCAGATGTCACGGGAACACACTAATCCTACCTAAAAGAGTATAATGTTCCATATATGACAGAAATATAAACATCAGAAATGTACATTAATGTTAGAGTGCTGGTAGATCATTTCAAAGAAGTGCTACTATCATCTCCATATGAGATTCATTCCAAAGTCCTGACAGATACGTAAAGAAGATTTTGAAAACAGCTTATCTCACCGTAAGGGGTATGCACCATTTCCAGGTATATATTTGACATGACGTGCCCTGACCAACTTAATTTTCTGTATTTCATTTGACAATTCCACGCATTTCGTAACTATTCGGTCATGTCTTGCAAAGCCGCAGCAAATGATCAATCAGCTTAAAAATTTCTTACACATTCTCATTTCAACTAGCCAAACAGACTGTTCTTTCATGAACCACTTATATACCCGTTATAAAGGTCTCTCCCACTGTTTTAGATTGAAACATAAGTAGTGGGGAATATGACTGTAATTTCGAGAGCCCTCTAGCATGAAACCAAGCAAAAGAAGGGGGGAAATGTCACGAAAAGAAAAAGACACCCTACTAGTAGTAGTTCACAGCAGGACTACCTAACAAACACCAACGTCATTTTCTGGGCAAGTCTTAACTCATGGCTGTCAAAAACAAATTGTACAGAAAATATCATTCTAAATCTTAAAAAACAATCAATAAGCAATAAACATAGATATTGAAGCACAAACTGAACAACAAAATCAATGGAGTTGCAGATTTGGGAGTCCTTTTATCATTGTGTTACCTTTCAAGACATCTGGAGCATAAGACTGGCCTTCACGCACATGAACCTAGAGTACAGATAGGATTCTAATTTAGAATATCGAATTACAACACAAACAACATGAGCTGACTAAAGAATAAATATCAACAATGGTGCTGTCATTGTAACTCTGAACAAATTATTAACCAGAACTTACGCGGTAAAAGGTTGCATGGGCATTATTTTTATCTTTAAAAATTAGTTTAAGGATGTCAGCAATACTTTCAAGCCGACAGACAGTGCCTTGTGATTTCTGCTGTTTGTCTTCCTCCAGAAGCACAGCAGCCTCCTCAATTATATCAATGAGCTTGGTTGCAGTGTCATGCGTGAGATTCAGATTAGCAAGTAATTCATAGATGTAGGGCCCAGGCCTGGTGAATCCCAATTCACTGGATTCAATAGGTACATCAGCTATCCCCTTCTCAAGCTTCAGAAGCAGTGCTGCGGGATTGAAACGTACAAAGAAGTATAGCCTTGTATAAGGGACTGTCATAATATAAAGCACTCATGGGAGTGCGAAGTGGAATGAATTTGGAGATGTGCAACTATGATATATCAACCTTTAAGAATGGCATAGTTCTCGGGATTTTGTGATTTATCACTTGATGTATCCCTTCTTGTGATAGAAAGATCAATGCAGGATTGCGCCTCGGAAATGCAAGCCGTCAGAAGCCCAGCAGGCAGGTCAAATGAAGCAGCATCAGCACATATGCCTTCCTGCAACAGATTAATCATGTAAGCATGCATACAAGAAACACAAATTGTATATATGATATAATGAATTCTAGCGGAAATTCGAAAAAGAAGTCAAGACTCAAGACTGATCTACCCAATCAACTACATTTTCCCAATCGCTTCTGAAAGCATGCAGATAGATATGCTAACCATCCTCTGAAAAAAATACTTTGTCCAAATAGGCAATTTCTTGCCATGGCCTTTAGATGGACTAGATAAATGGCAACAGAAATCGCTATAATCTGAACTCGCATTAATGCTATACACCCTCTCTGTCCTCAAATCTCTCTGTAACAACTCAATTGACCAGCACTTTGCCACTTTTTTCTACTTTAGAACATGTGGAATTTGCACTCACCAGGTTGTGAGCTTCATCGAATATTAGGACACTGCTGTCCCAATCAATCCCAAGAGATTTCCTATAGCTAGGATCAATCAGATAATTATAAGGTGCAAATAATATGTCAACCACTTTACTGAGTTCCCTTGATATATAGTATGGGCACCTGCAAGAAATACAAGCAAAATGAAAAGAAAAAAAAAAGTCACCAATTCAAGATGCCAAGCATCTGGTAATCAAGATTTTAACACAAAGAGAAACCTGTCGATGGAACTTACGGTCCAAACTGTTGCCCAATTTTTACCAAATCCTCTATGTCAACTGGTTCATCTCCGAGATGGGGATTCTGCTTTACATAAGCTACAAAAAAGCAGACATGACCGTGATCAACACTTTTTCCTGCACATTTACTTTCACGAAAGATAAATACAATAATTTCCAAATCTATGTCGAAAGTGGTCTGTGACCCTTCCCACCAGTGCAGAAAAGACTATCTTCTATTTTAACCACTTATGCCTCGTTCTGAAACTATCATTAAGTTCAAAAGAAAACATTAGAGAATGCAGCATCTTCCCAAAATAAATTTGGTCAAAACATTTCAAAATACTAAAAAAAGAACGACAGCAACACTAATATTAACAAACAACAAGGCAATAAGGAAAGAAGAACAGGCAATATGTGTTGTTTAGTCTTGCTAACATCTTGATACCTAATAAGCATGCAACAAATAGGGAACTAGAGATAAACAGGCTTAATCAGGAACCACAGATATTACCACGAGAAACCAGAAATCTAAGTATAACTAAGTTCAACTGAGCTCCTGATGAAGTCTTAACCCAAACTGAGCTCCTGGTGGAATCATTATATAGCAAAGAGAAAATGCTACTCTTTATATAGAAATACTTCACTATGAAATATTTCATGATCAAAAGGTTTCATACAACTGAAAATTCTTCAAGCTATCATGTTAGCAATTGTCACATTAGTTGAACGACTTAACCCAAAAAAGGTGAACTCTCAATGTGATGGTTTCTAACGGAACACCAACACAAAGACCGTTCAAAGAAGAGGAGTTGCTACTGCTGTTAAAGCAAAGACTAATATATGGTAGAAAAACGTTAATGTACTGGAATTAAAAATGATCTCAGTGGGGATATGCCAGTCAATTTACATGCATTTAGACGAGGAAATGCAAATTTCGTACAACATTGGAATGACACCAGGACAAATTGAAAACAGCATTGCAGAAGAGTTCATAAAGGCTTACTCCACCAGTTGAAATACCTTGGAATTCCATATTGCTATTGACTAGCATACATCCAAAAGAAAGACTGATAGAAACACCCCTCAAGGAATCGAAATTCAAAGTTCAAACAACTGGGATTTTTCAGTTGCAAGATCTACCCTAAATATGGAATCAAGTCTAATAAGAATGCAGGTTGTAGTACCAGATGTTTGAGAGAAATGAGCACACTGACGCTTTGCACTCTTTCTGCAAAGGAACCGGCAAGCGTTTGACTGTGCTTTTCCACGCAGTGTACGAACTTCCTCATGAATGCACAACTGTTCTCGAGACCCTAAAATCACCATTTTCGGCCTGCAGCATTTATATAATGCAAACCAGAAGTAATAAGGTAGAATATTACATGTACCACGTGCCCCCAAACCGGTTGCAAGATCAGCAATGAAAGAAGGAAAAGTTCAGACCTGTAGCTGCTCGTCTTCAACTCTTGGATCACTTGACGGAGCTGGCTGTGAGTTCGTGAAGTATACACTATCGTAGGAAGACTGCTACCGCTGGACTGGGATGAGGGCGTCCCAACCACACTCTGACTATTCCTCTCAGACTTCCCTGTAGAAAATCCACCTAGACTCTTCCTCCATGCCAATGTAGCACAGAGAAGGCACAGGGTCTTCCCAGTTCCGGTAGGACTCTCCAACAGTGCATTGCATTTCTGCCACATTACACATAATTAGCAGACTGTAAGACCCCAATAACTAGAACAATACCCTAATTCGCTCCACTACCCGACATGCCAAGGAAGAAGGAAAAAAAAATCTCCTAGGAATTCAACACCCCAGCAACCACACGATATGGTTCGCATCAATGCATCTAGCAAGCATAAACTTTTGAGGGAGAATGACTCACATTTTGGAGAGACTCGATCACTTTCTCCATGTAAACGAGCTGGCAATCGTATGCCTCGTAAGGGAAATCCACATCGATTCCCCTGATCTTGTAAGTCGGCATGTTTGTTCTACCTCCCCTTGCCGGAGGGGAAATTACTTCTTCTTCGCTCTCCCGACAGTGCTCGTTACGAACTCGGTCTGAAGTCAAAACCCAAATACAACAGAACCCTAGAGAGAAAATGGCTGATTTTCCCGCCATTTTGAAGAAGCGTCGAGCTCGATCCGCTGTCGTTGGCGGAGTCCTATGGCCATCTGAGATTGGGCCCAGCCCAATGATTGGCTCCAATTGGAAGAATCCACAAAGCCCAACAGTATATACAAAGGGTTCAATGCACCGAGTGAGGCCGAAGAGAGTCAAACGAGCGAGTTTTAGATCTTTCTAGAAGCGGACCATAAAAGTGGCATTCTCTGGCCGACCACCTCAATTTCCAAGCTTCTCGTTCTCGCCGGCATCAGCCTAGGCTTACTTTTTCCGAATTAGAAAATAAACCGAACCGAAAAAGAAATATAAGAAGTCAGAGAGAGAATTCTAGAATCAACCACACACGTCCTTCCCTTCCTTTGCTTCGCCGCTCCGCTCTCTTTCCTTCCTTCTTTAAAGGTACGACGATCGTTATAACCCTAGCGTTCTCTTCTCTGCGCGACGATTCGATTCAGTCTAGTCTCTGTTCCAACTCCGAGCGAATCTCGGGGTTCCCTATTTGCGTTTCATCGTCTGAGCTTTCTTTCTCTCTCGTTCTCGTCAACTCCCGCATAGATCTGTGAGTTTCATTCATTGCTTCAGCTCTGAGACCCGGAATCTCTTTCCTCGTCTGCTTCATTACTGAATCTAATTGCTCTTTGCTGGTTTCTCTAGTGGATGGTTTGATTCTCTTGGGGGGTTTTAAATTTGATCTCCTTTTTAGTCCTTCGAATTCAAGCTGTTTTTTTTTTCCCTATTTTCAGTGGTTGTTTGTTGCTTTGCCGATCTTGCTTCATTGATAGATTAAGCCAGTCGGTGGTGGTGAGTGTGCATTAGGTTGTATCAGACTGTGAAGGTTGTAGGTTTGGTGAATGGCGGGCTTGGGCCATCTTCTTCTTACCATCTGCCTGATGAAGTAGTTAATTGGAGATTCCCAGAAAGTCTGATTCTCTTTGTCCATTAACATGAGATCCTGTTAGGATCCTTTGGATTGGGAATTTCCTTTCAAATCATGCGCTGATATGTAGATCTTAAGTTCTGAATGAGCTTTCATAGTACTTCTGTAAACTGTCTCATGGCACCCATTTACACTTAGACTTCTGGTGGACATCTAACGGGTAGAAAGGATGTGGCGGCTTTGGTGGCTTCATTGCATAGAGCTGCTGAAACTGTAGAAATTGGCTCTCATTAGGGCTGGAGTTATGTTTGTTTCTTGTACTCTGATTGGTGGCTAACTTCTAATTGATCTGATAGTATGCTGCTCCAGGATGATATGCTTTCCAGCTGCATAAATTGGTTGAATGAGTAGCGTCCTTTGTGTCTAACTTGATTTATTTCTATTGTTGTCTTGCACAGGCAATCACACCGTCATCCTGAATACTGACTAGTTCAGTGAATTTTGTCAGTTTAGGGAAACATGAGTGTGGTTGGCTTTGATTTTGGAAATGAGAACTGCCTTGTTGCCGTGGCAAGACAAAGAGGGATTGATGTCGTTCTTAATGATGAATCGAAACGTGAGACTCCAGCCATTGTTTGCTTTGGAGAGAAGCAAAGGTTCATTGGTACTGCAGGCGCTGCCTCGACTATGACTAACCCCAAGAATTCTATCAGTCAGATTAAGCGTTTAATTGGACGGCCGTTCAATGATCCTGAATTGCAGAGAGATCTAAAATCGTTGCCTTATGCTGTCTCTGAAGGACCTGACGGGTTCCCTTTGATCCATGCGCGGTATTTGGGCGAACTGAGGACCTTCACGCCTACTCAGGTTTTGGGAATGGTGCTTTCAAATTTGAAAGAGATAGCAGAGAAGAATCTCAACGCTGCTGTGGTTGACTGCTGCATAGGGATTCCTGTTTATTTCACTGATCTACAGCGAAGGGCTGTCTTAGATGCTGCTACAATTGCAGGATTGCATCCACTTCGTTTGTTTCATGAAACTACTGCTACTGCACTTGCTTATGGAATTTACAAAACTGACTTGTCTGAAAGTGACCAACTGAATGTCGCTTTCGTTGATGTTGGTCATGCAAGTATGCAAGTGTGCATTGTTGGATACAAGAAAGGGCAGCTTAAGGTACTGGCACATGCTTTTGACCGGTCTCTCGGAGGCAGAGACTTTGATGAAGCTCTGTTCACCCACTTTGCTGCGAAGTTCAAGGATGAGTACAAGATAGATGTTTACCAGAATGCCAGGGCTTGTCTTAGGTTGAGGGCTGCTTGTGAGAAATTGAAGAAGGTTCTCAGTGCTAATCCTGAGGCACCTTTGAATATCGAGTGTTTAATGGAAGAGAAAGATGTGAGAGGTTTCATTAAGAGAGATGAGTTTGAACAGATCAGTATGCCTATATTGGATCGTGTGAAGAAGCCACTGGAGAAGGCTCTTGAGGATGCTGGACTTACTGTTGAGAATGTTCATACAGTTGAGGTTATTGGGTCTGCATCTCGTATACCCTCTGTTTTTAAGATCTTGACGGAGTTCTTTGGCAAGGAGCCCAGGCGCACAATGAATGCGAGCGAGTGTGTTTCTAGGGGATGTGCCTTGCAGTGTGCCATGCTCAGCCCCACATTCAAAGTGAGAGAATTCCAGGTAAAATTCTGCAAGTGGCATGGTTGTTTAAGTCTCTAGCAAACAAATCTCTCTTTTTTCTTGAATCAGGATTATTAGTAATGCTCTTTTATTGCTTCTAGTTGTGAGGTATGAGCACTGGTATGTCGGTTCCTGCTGGTCAGAACGACCTTTGCACCTTTTCTTTTGGGTTGTAAACAGCTGTAGTCTGCGGCACATAACATGCCCAAATGACACTTCCTTTTATTTGCAGGTTCATGAGAGCTTCCCATTCTCAATTGCTATGACCTGGAAAGGAGGTGCAGCACCGGAGACTCCAAATGGCGCTGCTGATAACCAACAGAGCACACTTGTGTTCCCCAGGGGAAATGCCTTACCCAGCATCAAGTCTCTGACTTTCTATCGGTTGGCGACATTTTCTGTCGATGTCCAATATACGGACACAAATGGGTTGGTGGCTCCTTCTAAAATCAGTTCTTATACGGTAAGGAAACTTGCTTAGTTATCTCTACTGCAATCCAGCTTTCATCCTTTTGCTTATAGTTCTGTCATTTTGTACAGATTGGGCCTTTCCAGGCCACGAAAAGTGAGCGGGCCAAAGTTAAGGTGAAAGCTCGGTTGAATCTGCATGGAATTGTGTCCATTGAGTCTGCAACAGTAAGTACTTCGTATTATCTTTAGTTTTGCCATTCATTTTAAGCACGTTTGGGATATAATGTTTAATGGAAGACGGTGGTCTATATTTCCCAGCTTTTGGAAGAGGAAGAAATTGAAGTTCCTGTCTCAAAAGAGACAGTCACCAAGATGGACACTGATGATGTTCCAAGTGATAGTGTGCCCCCGAGCACAAGTGAAGCGGATGCTAATGCCCAGGAAGGCAATACTGGTGTCGAAAATGGTGCTTCTGATGCTGGTGATAAGCCTACCCAAATGGAAACAGATAGCAAGGTTTGTCTTCAATATGGACTTAACTTGGAACAACTCTATGCCATCCCTTCCTAGTTGATGTGTTCTGCATGCTGGGTAAAGTTTTTTAATTCTTGCTTTGGCATTTTGCTATTGGCAGGCTGATGCTCCAAAGAGGAAAGTTAAGAAATCGAACATACCTGTATCAGAATTGGTGCATGGTGGATTGCCTCCAGTTGATCTGCAGAAGGCAGTAGAAAAGGAGTTTGAAATGGCCTTGCAAGATCGGGTGATGGAGGAGACTAAAGACAAGAAAAATGCTGTTGAGGCTTATGTGTATGAGATGAGGAATAAGGTAGAGGCTTCTACTTCCCCTGGTTTGGTCCACCCTTTATTTGTTATTGGATGTTCCCATCATGACCAGTATGTGCTAAACTGAGGGTTCATGGTCCAGCTCCTTGATAAGTATCAAGAGTTTGTCACTGAGCCGGAGAGGGAAGAACTATTGGCCAAGCTACAGCTGGTGGAGGACTGGTTGTATGAAGATGGTGAAGATGAAACCAAAGGTGTTTATATTGCCAAGCTTGAGGAGCTCAAGAAGGTAATCTATTATTTCTTCTCGTCCAAGGAAAGAGACAAGTGTTGGTTTTCTTTAGCAGTTGTTTTAACCAAGTGGGTTCAAACTTTTACAGCAAGGCGACCCAATAGAGCAGCGGTACAAGGAGTCCACCGAGAGGGGATCTGTAATTGATCAACTTGTTCATTGTTTCAGCAGCTACAGAGAAGCTGCTCTGTCTAATGATACCAAATTTGATCATATTGATATGAATGAAAAACAAAAGGTGTGATTATCCTTCTGGACCACTACTGTGCAATATTCATTTCCCTATCCTTGTGCTTCAACTTGACAGCTTTATCCTCGCTCTGCAGGTTATTAATGAATGTGCTGAAGCAGAAGCATGGCTAAATGATAAGAAGCAGCAGCAGGATTCCCTTCCCAAGTATGCTACTCCAGTTCTCTTGACGGCAGATTTGAAGAGGAAGGCCGAGGCACTTGACAGGTGTTAATACTTTACTTGATTGTCAAGCTATCAACGGCATAGTTTCCAGAATGCAATTTTGAGACGAAGAGAAATAACCATTTGTCGTCTTGTCTACTACCAGGTTTTGCCGGCCAATAATGACAAAGCCAAAGCCAGCCCCACCAAAGCCGGCTACTCCTGAAGCACCCACCGCATCCCCTGAACAGCAACCCCAGGGTGGTGATGCAGATTCCAAGGCTAATGCTGAGTCAAGTAGTAATGACGAGAAGCCAGCTGCCGCTGATGCCCCAGCGAGTGGGGAGCCAATGGATACAGACGATCAGGAAGGTTCGGCTAAAGCCTGAGAGCTGATATCTGCGTCGGCAAGGTTGAGACCCTTTGCGTAAAATGAGCACTCTTTGGAGGCGCTTGATTCGGGTGTACGAGTGGTGGTCAGTTTTGCAATTGTTGAATTTGTTGAAGAATGATGTCGTGCTGGAATTTGTTATTGTTGTTGGGTTGGAACGATAAAGGGTCTCTTAAAAATCCGGTAGGTTTTTTCCAGGAAAGGCTTTGTAAGAGGATTATTATTAGGACTGGACTTCCATTAAGAATGGTCTTCCTGCACTCTTTGGTACAACTATTTATTGAGCAGCAGTGTTGCGAGGAGGTTTGTCATTTTATCGAGTGTGGTTAGTTCCTTTTTACCATCGTGTCTTTTTTAAAGAAAATTGTTTTCTAATTTCTTGTCACGTATTCAAGTCCTTACCCAACTGAATCAGATTTGTACCAATAAAAGGTTAAAAACACTGGCTAAACAAGAATTTAGGTGTTCTTCAATTTCCTGTGGGACTTGGAATTCATCCGTTGCTATCGGAGCAAGCTGAAAAGCTTATTTCCCTTTTCCTACATCTGATCTCAAACTCCAACGAGATGCTTACACGAAAAGGAGGGTAAACACGAAAAGGAGGGTAAATTGATGGGGTGTAAGTTGAGTGGTAAATTGTCGTTTGAATGGAAAAATAAGGAGTGTAAATAGAGTGAAAGTATGTAATTATATTATTATATAATAAAGTTATTAAATTTATAAAATATTATCACAAGATAGTATAAATAAAAATTAATATATAATATTACTAATAAAAATAATTATAATATAATAAAAATAATTATTATATAATAATGCTCAAATAATAATTAATTATAACAGCACAAATAATCATTGGTTGAGCGACCTCGAAACCCAACTCGTAACTAGTCATCTTAAGGGAGTTTTCGTGCCTAACTTTAATTGAATATGGTCAAACTTAGTCAAACAAGTTCAAATCTGTAAGTTGTAATTATTTAGTCAAGTAAACTGAGTCAACTAAACCTGTCGTCTCTATCTTTTCCACAATTGTTTCTTATCTCTAATTTTCAATGCAAATTTAACTAGACGAACATTGACAAACTTGCTATCGAAGTCAAACGGTCAACCCTAAACAACGTCTACATTAATAATAGCTATAAGAAAAAGTTAATAATATTAATTATTATGCAATTGTAATATAATTAAAAAAATGGGTTAATAGCATTTCATACCCCTCTACTATTGCAAGTTAACAATCATACCCCATTTTTCGAGAAATAGGACCTTTTAAAAAAAATATAAAAATAGCACCCACCCGAAAATATTTACAAAAATAGCACCCTTTTTTATGGACCTCACCTCCAAGGTGCATTTTATATGTAAAGCGCACCTGGAGGGTGCGTTTTATATATAAACCACACCTCTAAGGTGCGGTTTATTATCCTGGGCCAAAACTACATCTTGACCATGCGGTTTCAGGTCTGACCTACATAAACCGCATGGTCGAGGAGCGGTTTTGGCCTGACCTAGCAAAACCACACCTTGGAGATGCGGTTTGTGTGTCAATTATTTTCCGACACCCCACATATAGCCATGCAGAATAACCGACCTGGGGCTGCATGGCAGACGAAAACCGCATCTCTAAGGTGCGGTTTGCATCAGTGATTTTGCCTATAAAAGACTGCACGGAAAACCTCTTCTCTTCACACCTCTCCTTCTCCCTTTTCAATTTTCTGTTCTAGCTCTATATTTCTTTAGTGTTTTTGCGATTAACGTTAACTCGTAAGTTTATTTTGTATTACTTTTTATTGTTATTTGTGATTTTTATGATATTAACTGAACTACGGTTTTTTTGCATATGGCATTCCAAAAGTTCACGCTTGGCTTACGGTGGAATGGTTACACGGAAGAGACCGGAAAGGGGGTCACCTACGTCGGTGGCAATTTTCAGAAAATAAAGGTCGCTACCAGACCGCTGCTTGAAGACCTCCATCAAATGTGCACTAACGTTACTAGCATGGAGGGCACGAGAAGAGTTGATCGTATGGTGTACCGATATCCAAACAGAGAAAGTGGGTCATTGTGGCATGAGGAATATCTCATAACCACTCAGGATGAAGTAGCTTGCATGCTCGAATTCTTGAGGTCCAACAATCTTTCCAAAGCCGAGATGTTCATTTACACCGAGGCGGCCGTTGGCGTTGGAGGTCATTCTGGACACGGTCAAACATCTGGTATCCATGGTGGAGGTGAATTATATGGCGATCATCACTACCAAAGTTACCATGATCCTCATTCCTATATTCAGTACCAAGAGCAAGGTGAAGGTCATCATCAATCTTTCCCGTCATATGAAGAAGAAGTTCAACCGGACCTCCCCAACCAACCTCAGTACAACTTCCAATCAGGAAGCGGTAGTTTTCACAACTACCATTATGGAGCTGATGAAGGTGCCTTTCATGAGCTGGATCAGATGGAAGCTGCCCTGCCAGCACTAGTTAGTGACCCCTTCGATGAAGAAGGAGAGAACAACTTCAGTGCAGACAGCTTCGACCCTCTTGAAGGTGCTGATGATTCAGGACCAGAGTCAGACTCAGATAATGATGATAAGGTGGCTCGTGACCGTGTACCAGTCCCCTACTACAATCACATTCCAGACAACAATTGGATGGTCGACAGCGACATGGAGCCGCCAGAGGTCCCAGTATGGGGTCCACTCACTGGGTTTATGAAGGGCCAACAATTTGGCTCGAAGAAGGAGGTGCGGCACGCCATTGAGACTGAAACAATGACTCGGCATTTTGAATGGCACACAACTCATTCCAACACTAAAAGGCTCATAGTCAGATGCTGTAATCATCACGAGGGGTGCAATGTCAGGATTCAGGCCATCAACATAAAGAGACACGACCACTGGGTCATATCCCGTGCGGTGAACACACATGTGTGTTATCCATAACTTCCCAAGGCCATCGACAGTTGAAATCCAGGGTGGTTGCTGCGGCTATCAAGCATCTAATTGAGCAAGATCCGGACCTGAAGGTGAAAGTCATAATCGCTGACATTGCAAGTCGTTATGGTTATATGATTAACTATAAGAAGGCGTGGCATGGAAAGCAGAAAGCTCTGGCCGCCGTCTTTGGTGATTGGGAAGAATCATATGCATTCCTTCCCAGGTTAATTTTGGCATTGGAGGCGTCTAACCCTGACACTGTTTTCTCCCCTCGATACCAAGATGAAGAGATACAACCCCCAAAGCTAGGTAACAAACGCCATTTCAGGCAACTTTTTTGGGCATTCAAACCATCTATTGATGGTTTTGGCTTCTGTGTCCCTGTCATCCAAGTGGATGGTACATTCCTTACCGGCAAGTACAAGGGCACTCTCCTGATTGGCAGTGGGGCGGATGCAAACAGACAAGTCTTTCCTTTAACCATCGCCATTGTTGAGGGAGAGAATGCTGATAGTTATGGATGGTTTTTCCGGCAAATTCAGCTCCACATCACTAGGAGGACGAACCTGACAATAATCTCTGATCGACAAATTCAGCTCCACGTCACTAGAGAGAGAAGGAAGAATGGGTTGTGGTGTGAAGAAATGAGAGGGGAAGGGGGGGGGGGGTATTTATACTTATAAGAGAGCACCCTTCAGGGGAGGTTTGGTAATTTTCCCTCGCAGAAACCGCTCCCTTCCGATGCGGTTTGCGATTCACGAGGCGTTGAACGCTCCTTGCAGGTGCGGTCCCCGATCCATGGCACGGATCGCTCTGCTGGCATGCTATCCGCCGTCCGATCGCACCTTCATCCAACGGTGAAGACCGTTCAGCAGAAAAAACACATCGCATCTTCCTAGTGTGATTCGCGTGCTGACGTGGAATAAACCGCACCCCTAAGGTGCGGTTTATAAGTAAAACGCATCTGGAGGGTGCGGTTTACTTATAAAACGCACCTTGGAGGTGCGGTCTATTAAAAATAGTGCTATTAGTGTAAATTTTTTCGGCTGGGTGCTAGTTTTGTAAAAAAAAAAATTAAACGTGCTATTATTTGAAAAAATCCGATCATACCCCTCTATTAATTTTTTGCACTTTTGTACCTTTCTACTATCATAACATAACAAATGTACCCTTCCGTTAAATTTTCCATCCAATGACCCTTAAAAGGAAAGGAAAATGACTTTTTTACCCCTGTCTTACGTAATAATTATATTTCATTTATTCATACATTGTTTTGAAAATGGTTAAGACGAATAAAATTCTCTTCAAAACCCACCAACAAAACCTTGAACAAGCTTTGCACCGCCGAACCATCGAGCTCCATCGAGCTCTGTCCAACTGCAGAAATGCTCCTCTATTCCGACTAAGGTGGATTGTGTTGTGTTGGAATCAATTTCAAAAGGCTAAGGAATCAATCAGAAATGCTATAAAAGGTTCATGTTTGCGTGATTATTAAGGGCGGCTTCGATTTCACAATCGATTGATAAGGGTTTGGTGATGTGGTGAGTTGGGAAGATGCAGTGATGAGGGTGGTGGTGGTAATGGTTGTTTGACATTTTAGAGGAAGAAGTGAAAACCAGCATTTGTGGCGGTGGCAGCGGCGACAGCCTGAAAGAATCTAGATGGACGAAGATCTCGATGTCTCTGACCTCCCCCACCGTCGGCGACGACCTGATGTACAAGGACCTTGATCTCGGCAATGACGGCGAGTGGATCTGGATGGAGTCGGCGAGTTTTTTTTCTTCTTCTTCACAATAATAGATGTTGCTTTCACTGTATCATCGACAACTTCAGGTGGATTTGGAGGCTGCCAACAAGTTCTTTTTCTTGGCGTCGTCAATTTTAGACTTCCATTATGTCGACAAGGGTTCTACAGGGTATATATTGGGATTTCTACCAATTTAGGGTTTAAATTTTATTAGTCAATTGCATATGCTCAACCAATGATTTCAGTATTAGATTCTCCATCCTCCATGATTGTTTGATTCAAGATTGGGGTTTATGGACTTGTCACTGCAGCTTCCAATTGGGGGATGGATGGAAGATAAAAGTTCCCCCCGTTTCTGGTGACCATAATGGGATATGGAAGAGGAAAGTAGAGGGGCGTTGGGTTTTTTTAAATACTAAATAAATGGGGAATTAAAAGAACAAAAATTTATATAAATGATAAAAGAGGGACAACATAGTCATCTCCGAGCCCCCCTAACTGACATATAACATATATAGGAACAGAAGGGTATATTTGATACGTTTTGATAGTTGAAGGGTATGATAGTGGGAAAAAAAAATTTCCTCCCTCACCTAAAAAATATGTTTTGATAGTTGAAGGGTATGATAGTTAAAAGTATATTTGTTAACTTACAAAAATAAAGTGGCATAAAATGCTATTAACTCTATAAAAAAAATTCATAATTTCCTCCACCCCCCTCCCCCCTTCCTCCCTTCTTTCTCTTGCACCCCAATTTGGAGG